CATGAGTGTCTAAACCTGCTGTCAGCAGAACTGTGAGTCTGTCTGTCTTTTTATTTTGAGGTATTTTCACTTCCCAGTTCCTCCAAAAGAGGATCTGAGCACAAAAGGACCAAGGTTAACAAAAATCCTGGTGCTAAAGCTGAGTGGGTATGTGCAAATCCTGAACTAAGTAGCCCAGTTTTCAAAGACACAGAGAACCACTGGCACCAAGCTCCTGGGTGTGAACAGTATCATGGACACACATCCACAGACGTCGTGGAGAAAGAAACTGAGGCACAGGAACGTGGAGAATCTGCTCCTCACACTGGAGCCAGAGGTCACAGTGACACTGCTTCAAGCAGGAGCAGACCCAAGGATATGGTGAAGTCACAGAAGTAGCAAGGCCAGAAGCCAGCAGAGATGATGAGTGAAATGAAATCCTGAGGTTCTGCTTTTCCACCTCTACTCCCACCCCTACACAAGGTTTCACTTCAGAGAGCAGAAATTACCCACTGCTGGTACCTGGCCCAAGCCACCCTGGGACTTGCCCAGCGCTCAGCTCCTGTACTCGTCTGAGAAGGAGAAAAACACAGCTCTGCTGGAAGGAAAAGTGTTCAGCTTACTGATCATGGTGGTGCCCCCAGCCAGGGCAGCCTTGGTCCCCTGGAAGAAGTCATCAGCAGATGTCATGCCCTGCTCTGGCATCTGGAAACGAGTGTGAACGTCGATCCCTCCAGGAATCACCATCCTGCCATGGGCTTCAATAGTCTTCACTCCCCCTGGCACAATCAGATTCTCCCCTATTTGCCTGGGTAAAGAGGTTCCAAAAGAGCAAGTCAGGCACAAGCAGGTGAGCAGCCTGTAAACAAACACCCTGTGCCACTTCACCTGGCTGCAGTTTCCTTTTTCCATACAGGGCAGGGCATAGGAGCAGCACACACATGGCTGGTAATATTCTTCCCTTTGAAGCACTTGCATAACTGAGAGCAAAGTGTGCAATTCCTCCAGGAGCTCAGGGCAATATCAGACTTACCCCTCTGGCAGGCAGCTGGGAAGGGACAGTGCAGGCTGTGGATGATCACTGCCCCAAACAGCTTTACTGGGGCTGGACTGGCTGCCAAGTGGCAGCTCAACACTCAATTTGATGGAGCTCTAACAGCAATTCAGGTATCAGCAGGGGTTTGGGAGCACTGGAAGAGGTTTAACTTCTCTACTGTCTGTCTTCCTTCCAGGCATAAATAGCCCCTGCACAGGTATAAACCCATGCAGACACTGGTTACCAAATTCCTGGTTAGACCCTCCAAGGTCTCTCCAGTCCAGCTCTTCACAGATTTATTTGTTAGAAGTGCAGTAGTGGATGACACACTGCAATTAATTAGCTGTCCCTGGCTGGCTCCTCTAACTTCTAACCTTGATTAGCAAAGCACATGTGCTGGCTGTGCAGCCAGAACAGGAAAATTCCTTGTTTGTAACCTCTGGCTTGTCCATTTTTTCCTAAGAGTAATTTTCCAAAGCAATCTGTAATACATTCAACATGCCAGAAACGCATGTTTGGAGACTGAAAACACAGAGAGAGGTCAGAACCTCAAACTGCAGGATCATTTTTAACTTGGATTGATCTTTGCATCATAGAAGCAGCAAAGTCAGAGACTTCCAGAGGTCAACCAAGTCCAGTCTCCCACCCTCAACCAGAATTAACTGTGTTAGGATGCTGAAGTCTGGGTTCAAAATATCTCGAGTCATAACTCAGTAACACATTACAACAGAGATAACTTCAAACACATGGGCCATCTCAGCATGGGGCTACTCACATGGCTCAAATTAAGCAGATGTAGGCACCTCCTTGGAGCCACACTTTACTGACACTGGGGTTTGGGCCCAGCTGCTTATCCAACACCCTGGTTTTCAGAGTTCCTTCATTAACCACCAGGATATACGTGGAATATTCATTTTTCATTGCAGTTGAATAGAGGTCACTGAGTCTCAGCTATTCCCTGCTCATCTGCAGTGCAGTCTGTACATTCCCAATCACAACTCTGGATCAGGCTTCACTTACTTTATCAACCCATCCTCCATGTAGATGTCTGCATAAAAGGACTGGTCATCATTAACGATTTTACCACCTTTGATCAAAAGACGATCACTCTGCAACAAAAGAAGCACAACACAAGGCACAGTTACTCAGTGACAAAGCTGACAGGCTGCAGTGTCACTTCAGAGATAAAAGGGGAGAGAAGGCAACAACCTCTGCATTATTCACGAGTGCACGTCAAAACACAAGTCAACTGCTGCACTTTCAACTGGAAAGATAAGATGTTTTATTTCGTCTCAAAGCCCTTTCATCACACTAATGATCCAAAACAATCAGAAGAGGAAAGGAGGTGGGCTCCAGAAACCTGGTCTGCTTGGCAGCATCATTCATACCTGCAGCTTGGCACCACCACCTGCAGCAGGAGCACCAAATCATACTCTGAGGGATGTGCAAGAGCCACATCTCTATTTCTTCTGCCTTGGCTGTATGCAGAATTTCCTATATGCACCCACACAGTGGAGTCACTGCTTGGCTCAACGTGAGTCAACTGCTGTCAGGGAAATGGCCCAAAAGTCTGTTGCCAGGGGTTACACAACACAAACAAACTCCTCTGGTCCAATTTAGAGATGTTTCGATGCAGTGGATCCTTCCCCTGCCTCTGCAGAGCACTGCTGCACAACCAGATGGCAGTGAGCACCGACTAGCACACCGAGAGAGGGATTTTAAAAAATGGTTATTAAATGGCCTCAAATTAGAGGACAGATTGGCAGGAACAGGAAGGTAATTATAACAAGGCAGCGATCAGCAAGGTGATTTTATCACAGCCCAGGTCACATCTCGCTTCTGCAAGATCTTAAAACCAAATGGGTTGGGTTTTTTTGCAGTAGTCATAAACAAGAGTGAAATACTCTCTGCAGAGCTCTGGGTGGGGAGGAGAGTTAAAAGCAGCGGCTACATCCCTCTGGTTCCCTCACTCCCTCCCTTGCAGAGGCATTTTTAAAGCAGATGAATATTTAAAACAAGGCACATACATGTCATGCAGTCTCTGGTTCAAACCACACCTTAGCCCTCCTATCTGCACCTGTACTTACTCTGATTCTTTTCTCCTCCTCTGGAAGAGAACAAAGCTACAGCAGCACAGCCAAAGGCGACTCAGGGAGGGGTGGGAAGCAGGACTGGAACCCAGAGGTGCCTTGGGCTTACGGAAAATACACACAGGACAGTGACAGTGGTGCTCAGGCTGCAGCTCCACGGGTCAAACAGAACCAAAGAGCTTACAATAAAGCTGAGGAGCTGGAGCACCTGATTCTCAACCCACACAAGCTGATATGGCTCCTTTGACACCAAAACTGCTGCGTGAATTGCATCAGGTATTGATTTACACCACTACACCCATCTTTTACATAACTGCTTAACATCTAGGAGACGGTTAAGTCCTTCCCCTTCTCCTTCCTCCTCCTGCTGCAGTGGAGCCTTTCCCTGAATAACAGCACCGATTTCAAAAACAAAGAAAACCCCAAGATTTAAATTTAGGAGCCGCATTCTGAACGAATTACCGTGGGGCGTGAAAAACCCCTGTCCCTCCACCAGCCTCTCCAGCACAGTGTCCTACATGTTCACCACCCCCAGACACTGCAGCACTGACCCCACCTCCAGCGCAGGCTCCTGTGCCAACAGACAAGTCCTAATGCTCCGGGCGTTAATTGGGGGAGAAGGAAGATAAAAATGCATATATAGTGGTCACAAAAACGCAGCTGTTTAAATGATGCTCTGAACGCTTGTGCCGGTTAGCAGAGCTCCTGCTGCGGCTCAGGGCGAGTCCCTCTGCTCCTCCGAGCGAGACAAAGCACAGACAGCTCAGTGTGCGCAGGGCCTGAAGCTGTGCTGCCTCCCCTGCACAGACCAGGACAGCTACAGAGCCCCGAGCATCCACCCGGCCGGGCTGCACAGCTCAGAACAGAACGGGGACAGCTCTCCCCATCGCACAGGAGAGGGGTCAGCTCTCCCCATCACACAGGAGAGGGGTCACTTCTCCCCATCGCACAGGAGAGGGGTCA